GTCATATTGAAAACACATTTATTGTAACTAAGTCCATCACTGATATCCGAAAGGTTGAGATTGGATTTCAGTTTTGTTACTGAGCATGTTGAAAATGTCCCAAGTAATGGTGGAAGGAGAAGTAAAAAGAGAGCAAGTTCTTAAAATTTAAGTTTTACACATAGTTTGCTTCCTTAATTCTATTAGAGCTACCACACCTGGGCTGCAAACATCAGGGTGGCCACTAGATGGCAGCAAATATACCCTCAGCTGATAAGTGTGATAGGTGTGTAAGTGTGATAAAAGAAGAGTAACCATGTGGATTAAGACTAGAATTCCCCAGCGTAGATTATTCAGTTCTGAAGAACTGATCCTGAACACAGTAATAATAGTCTGGGATATATGAAATATTAGCACATGTGAATGGAGCAAGAGCTGAAGGTCTCAGGAACAATTCAGATTGTGTGCTAGCAAATAGAAGGCTCTCTTGGAAGCCAATCAGAGGAGTCCCAGCAGAAAATGACAGCAGGCAAGCATTCCTACACAGTGACTTGACTACAAAACCAATATTCATTCTAGGCCTTTTTGTATATTAGCTGCATGTACAATTAGCATGCACAGGACTAAAAGCAGTCTACCCTCTTGAGAATTTGTATTTATTGTACTATTTGTAAAGACAAAAGTACCATTTTCCCCTGCAATGCAAATGCAATAAAAGGGATGTCCGTTGTACTGTAAAAGGTACTGTTAGTTCAAGCAAGGAAAAGAAGCCAGCCCATCTCCTGTTTCAGTCAGCTACACTGACTGGGATTGATGGAATTTGTAGTTCAACAGATCTGGTCAACCTGAAAGCTGTCCTAGAACATGCTGTAGAGACTGCTACGCCAGGGTTAGAGGACCTGGACTACAAGTTCTCTAAGTCTCAGTCAACAGTGGCAACATACCATGACAGGTACAGTTTTGACACATGTGAATGGTGCCATGTTGTTTGATTCTGGCGAAGCAGATGGATAACTGGCTCCTTGTCAGGTAAACTGTTGGAAAAAGAAGACAAATAGTTTAAAAATACAGTTTTGGATCTCACCCAACTAGATACAGCACTTGGCAAAATCGTAATGGAGCACAGCAGAAAGCAGGTGATAAGGGCCTGGTTGAGTAGATTGCAAAGCCCCCATTTAAATCTGGATCGACTATTATAGTGTCCTCTTTTTTGGAAATCTGAGGAACTGAGAAGTAAAAGTGCCTCTGCCTTAGAAAGCCGAGGTGAGAGATGGCAATTGGGATTTTTGTTCTTAGTAAAGTGAGGCAATTGGGAACCGAGACTGAAAGAGACTGAGATTTGAGTTCTTAGGTTAGGAACATGATAGGAGATGGGCATGTTTAAGAGGGACGGTGGGCAGGCAGGCAGACACGCAGCAATGCGAAGTTGACTTCCATTCTGTGTTTTCCATTCTTTCAGGAATAAAGTCTTCTTAATTGCTTATCCTGCTCTCTCTCTCTCGGAATTCATATTTTAAGGTTTGAATCTCTGTTCTGAAGCCACTTGCCCAGCAGGGTGGTGACACCATATTTTCCTCCGTGCTCCAAAGTATTGATTCTTTTTGACCTCGCTACCAAAATAAACAAAGCCACCTACTATTCCTTCCCTGCCGAGAGAGAAAGGATGCAAAAAGCTGGCCATTGCATCTCAATTTAAACTACATTCTCTCCAACCCCCAGTGATAATGCACTCCAGATAATTTGGTAGTGCAATATATTTTCCAGGATAGGCCTTTGTTTTCTTTCTCAACTGCTCCCCTCTTGTCTCTGCTCAGTTTTGCTCATTTCTCTTCTAAGCTGTCTGGAAGGGGAGGAAAGCTTTAGTTTTAAACAATTCTTTTTTTCAGCCTGCCTTTTATTGAATTCCACCCTCCATTTTCCTGTTCCTTTAAAAAAAAAAAAAAAGGGAACATCATTTATCTTGGACTTTTAAGTTGCAGAGGCCTTCGAGGGGCTTCTTTTTTTTCCCAGCTGCATTTGTTGACACACACAGTCAATCTGGGCTGCCCCCTCCATCCCCCCTCCCAAGAGCAGGTCATAAAGAATCTACAGCTGTGCCCTTTATTAGCACAACCATTTGAAGCACAACCAGAGAAAGGGACTAAATATATTACAGCCATTACCTCCATCAAAAAGTGACAATTTTAAAACATCTCAGCTTTCTACTGGGAAAGCCGGGAATACAAAAGCAAGAGCTATAATTTTATTGTAAATGCTTTTTAAATATGGGTCACTTGGCCATTATCAAGGAGGGAAAAAAAAGTCTGGAAGAGTTCTCAGCCTGAGAAAAGCTCAGATATTCGTTCTTTTAAAAAAGAAAAAGAAAGCCACTTTATTTGTTAATATGCTAATGGGTATAAACCATATAATAGTGGGTTGCATGTCCAAGATGATGCGAGTTTGTTGACTCATGATGATTCCATCTTAGGTGCATGCTACAACTCGAAAAGATGGTTAAGTGCTAATAAAAACAAACGAGCATTTCTGTTTTGAAAAACAAAGTGCTACTTGCTACTTAAAGACCTCTGCAAATCTTGCATGAAAGAAGAAAGAGAGAGAGACTTTATTTTGATCAGTGACCAACATATAGTAAAATAAAATACAGTAAGTACAAAAAATCATCTACACCAATGCAAATAAAGTAAATAAAATATAACAATATGAACATTAAATCTATAAAATCAATAAACCCACATAACTGAGCCTCTAAAAACCTATTAACTTACAGAAGTAAAAAAACAAAGAATCAGTTATCCTGGTGTACAAAAACTAACATTTGTACCAAGGGGCAATAAAATATAATACATAAATGATAATATTCAAAAAATACACCATCTAGTTGGTATAAAATACTACAGCACAGATTCTATACTCTCACAGACAATTAAGCAAGTATCTCCTTTCAATATCTACAATGTAATAGTATGTAGAGACATGCAAGGAAGACTGTACAGGTAGTCCTCATTTAGCGACTGCCTTGTTTAGCAACCATGTGCAGTTATGACTATGGTGAAAAATTAACTTTACAACTAATCCTCACATTTACTATCTTTGCAGGTCTGTAAAGCAAAGGGAAGCTGAAGTAAGATCATAAGCACAGTTGCAGTTTCACTTAGTGACCGCTTTGCTTAATGACTGAGTTGCCAGTCCCAGTTGTGGTTGCTAAATGACGACTACCTGTATAATGTCTATCAAATAGTAAATACCAAAGAGAGTCTTGGCACCTGGACAATTTGCTAATACTTGTGCTAAAGAGTGTGCGCAAACATCCACGTAAAAGGGATAGTGATGGAAAAAAGTAAGTGGCCTGAACCTTATATGTTCTACATGGGAAAAGCCATTTATTATAAGGAACTTTCTTGTAATTCCCTTCCAAGACAGAACATTAAATTGTACTAGTATCATAGCTGGTCTATATTTAGATATTTCAATTTGTCTCAGATATCTGGCTGGGCTGGGATTGAAGGGCTGAGCACCTCAGTAGACCTCTACTAGCACACAAGATTGATCTTCCTGATTCTCTGTATCTATTATTCTTTGCCTTAGTTTGATCAGTGCCTAAGGCTAATAGCATCTTGCAAATAATCCCAGTAATTCAGTTTATGTAGAATGGAGCTTTTCCATTTGCTAGCAAAATTATAAAAGAAAATTAGAGAGGCCAGTCTAATGGAGTAGAAAACAGTGTTTAGCCAATAATTCAGTGAGTGAAAGCATAACATAGTTTCAATGTTATTTACACCAGTTTCCAGCCATAAAGTAACATTTGAGACACATTATGATACCTGAAAGATATTTCTCAGGAATTTAAATGGTAGGGACTCCATCAATGAGATATTTTTATACAGTCCTATCTGTACATCATTCAGAAATTGTGCTTGGGCATCAGTGATAAATAATTTAATTGCTGCTGGGATATATAATGTTCCTCAAGATCTATAAAAGGCTTGAACAGACCAATACTGTATTATCAGTGGAGTCCTTGGGGCTCTCTGAGCTTGGTTCTTTTCTTGCAAACATTTCATTACCTGGCTAGGTAACATCTTCAGTGCTAAAATGGGATGGGGTTTGCTCTCTATTTATGTGCTGTGGCCAAACGTTTCATTACCCGGCTAGGTAACATCTTCAGTGCTAAAATGGGATGGGGTTTGCTCTCTATTTATATGCTGTGGCCTGCCTTGCCAGTGCTGGTGGGGGTGGGGGGGTTGTTTTGCTCCTCTGGTAACATTAGCATATGCTTACTGCTTGATTGTGTGCCTGGTGGTAACCTTTCAAGTTAGATTGCACACAAGCAATAAACAGATGCTAATCAAGGAACTACCAGAGGAGCAAAACAAACCCCCACCCCCATCAACACTGGCAAGGCAGGCCACAGCACATAAATAGAGAGCAAACCCCATCCCATTTTAGCACTGAAGATGTTACCTAGCCAGGTAATGAAATGTTTGCAAGAAAAGAACCAAGCTCAGAGAACCCCAAGGACTCCACAGTTCAACCCTGAGCTACACATATTCGCCTCTATTGGTACTGTATTATCTCTGTGCACGCTCTAGGTTGCATTCTGGCTCCCTGTAGCATGGAAAACTATTCCCAAATATATGAATAATTGGACCTGTTCCGGTTCATGTCTGTTTAGTTTCCATCTGTGGATTTTAGGGGACTTTGCAAAAACCATAATCTTGATCTGATCATAATTAATCTGTAAAACTTCCTCTCTGCAGAACTCAGCAACTTGGTTCTTTCTCAGTGTCTACATTGTTTGGATATAGAAGGGTTGAAATCTGTTTGTTTGCCAGCTTTGGGGAGCTGATGTCCCAAATTATATAAACTGAAAGACTATAAAAGCCAGGACACAGCCCTGCCTAACTCCTTTACCGATGACGATTTCTCTAGTATAAGAGTACTGTGTAGAACACTAGACTTTTATTCTAGAATTATCATGATGTTTTTCTGATAATGGAGGATTATTTCATTCTTTGCCACAGCCTGTTCCTGGAGATTAAACAAAGTACCAATGGCTGTTTAAAGATGTCTGCAAATCTTGTCTTAAAGGATATACCCAACTGTCCCTGTTGATGAGGACCAGTCAACATCCTTGGTAAAGTCAAGTACTTATATTTCTGTTTTAGGGATGAGTTATTAAAATGTTGTTAGGTTACTACATTGTCACCGTTCATGATAAAGCTCCTTACTAGGGGACTGAATTCACTTATTAAGTTAACAGCACAGTCCTATGTATGTTTGTTCAGAAGTAAGTCATGTTATATTCAGTGGGAGTTTTTTGTAAGTACATAAATTATAGCTTTTACCTCTGACTTAGCTGGATGTACCAATGGTGCAACGCGCATGGCTATAAATGCAAACAAATGAATGTTTGGATGCCACAGAATGCAATTTGGCATTTATACCCTGCAGTTATTGTTCATGGTAATCTATTATTTGACAACTATAGATTGGATCCAAATTTAAGTTGGATTCAGGCACATAAAATCTAGCAATTTATATGGTGGATAAGGAAGAAGAGAAATTTATTTTGTTCGAATTATACTGCCAAATTACCTAATCTCATGATTGTGAATCAATATGCAAGTAAACTATTACCTTTCAAAATTCATACATAACAAATTTGATTTAATTCTCCAATTTAAAAAATGCATACAAGAAGTTGTATGTCAGGGAGTGAACAATTGTATGTTATTAAAAATAGCTTATAGAAATGCTTTATATTGAGGAAAATTCCTTGCAAACTGTGCTTATAGGAGAAATCTATGTGAAAGTTGCAAACTGATGTGTACATGGAATGAACCAAATTTGACTGAAACAAAATTAGAATAAGAAACTGGGAAACCAAAACCAAAACCAAATAAACAATTTTTTAAAAAAATCCAAACTGAGATTTATTTGTCCTTACAGGGGAAAGCTATTTCTTTCTTCTCATGTATGTGTTTTCATAGTTTTGTTTCGTGAGGTAGTGTTTAGAAGGAACTTGAATGTCAGGAGTTCAAGTGTACATACACCATGTGATCAAGATGCCCTTGCAACTTGTATTCTGGTCATGCAGAACCTCTACATGGGAAGAGCTGATCAGACACTGAATTCCTTTGCAAACAACCTCACCCAATTCTCTGTGCCACATTGGAGAAATAACACAGAGCATGATAAAGCCTTTCACGTGAGTAATGCATGAATAAAGGACTAGTAATTCTTAATCAGAGATGCATATAAGACTGAGTTTGTATTGCTTTATTATTAACATATAATCTGTTGCTCAGCTGTCTCAACAGATTCAGATAGAGTTACTGATTGTAAAATATTCGTTGGTACAAGAATTTCAAATCTAGCACAAAATACTTTTATCATACAGGTAGTCCTCGAGTAAGGACCACAATAAGGACCAGAAAATTCATTGTTAAGTGGGGCAGTTGTTAAGCGAGGCATCACAAGACCACACCCAATTTTACAACATTTTTTGCAGCGGTCATTAAGGGAATCACTGTGGTCATTAAATGAACCACATGATCATTAAGCAAATCACACAGTTGTTAAGTGAATCGTGTGGTTCCCCATTGATTTTGTTTGCCAGAAGCTGGCTGGGAAGGTTGCAAATGGCGATCATGTGACCCCGGGACATTGCAACCGTCATAAGTACAAGCTGATTGCCAAGCACCCAGATCACGATCACATGACCCCGGGAGTGCTGCGACAGTAGTAAGTGTGAGGACCGGTCGTTAGTTACTATTTTTAGTACCATCATAACTTCGAACAATCATTAAACAAATGGTTGTTAAGCAAGGACTACCTGTATATCCTATTTTAATGAATATTGATTAAATGCTTAAGAACCATTTTTGATGCAGGTACATATGAAAAAGGCCTGACCTGAGTATTTATTTAACCTATTTTTCATGGTTTTGAGTGGTACAACAGTCTTTTCCCAGCACATCTTATTAAAATTCAGGATTTCATTAGCTATTTGGAATTCTTATTTAGTATTTGATATATACTGCAATTTATTTTGCTCTCTTCAAATACAGTGTAAATGATGGATTAATATGATACTTTCTACTTTTATAAAAAGACCTGTTTCAATTATGTAGCTCATGGTAGTAATTAAAAAAGATAATTTTATTTATTTATTTATTAGTATTTATTATTTATATGCCACCCATCTCTCCCAGAGGGTGACTCTGAGCGGTTTACAATTAAAAACCAAGACAATAAAAACAATAAAAATATAAATACCCCAGGATTAAAACACAAATAACAAATCTATAAAAGCAATATGCAACTCAAGATGGGGGAAACAGTATCAATCATCTCATGAGCCAGTTCCAGCAATGTGAGCCCCCATCAGGCCCCCAGGCCATCTGGCATAGCCGTGTTTTAACTCCTTTTCGGAAGGCCAGGAGAGTGGGGGCAGCCTGTAAGCTGGCAAGCTGTTCCGCAGGGTAGGGGCCACAGCAGAAAAGGCCCTCTTCCTAGACCCCACCAGCTGAAATTCCTTGACTGGTGGGATCCATAACATGCCCCTTCTGCCGGACTGAGTGGGGCAGGCAGATGTAACGGGGGTGAGATGGCTTCTCAGATAACCTGGTCCTGTGCCATGAAGGGCTTTAAAGGTGGTAACCAACACCTTGAATTTGATCTGGAAGCAAACTGGCAACTAATGCAGCTCACGTAACAGAGGTGTTTTATGATCTGATAGTAGCATTCAAGATTATCCACGCCACTGCATTTTGTGCCAGCTGTAGCTTCCGAATAGTCTTCAAGGTAGCCCCACGTAGAGCACATTACAGTAATCCAAATGGGAGGTGACCGGGACATGAGTGACCATGCGGAGGGCCTCCTGATCCCGGAAGGGGCGTAACTGACGCACAACATGAAGCTGCGCAAAGGGCCTCCTAGCCATGACTGCCACCTGCTCTTTAAGCAGGAGTCGTGAGTCTAGGAGGACCCCCAGATTACGCACTGGGTCTGTCTGGGGTAGTGCAACCCCACCTAGAACCAGAGATGATAAGCTCCTAGATCTTGAGGCTCCCCGTATCCACAGCCACTCCGTCTTACCAGGGTTCAGTTGAAACCTGTTGTCCCCCATCCGGGTCCCTACAGCCTCCAGGCACCGCAAAATGGTAATTCAGCTGTAACTAAATAGAATACATTATAACAATTCTTGGCAAGTTACATGAACTTTATATGTGATAAAAGTGGTAATGATAAGGAACAAAAGAATTTCAAAATTAAAAAATTCTAGTTTCAGTGCATCATTGGCGAAATTACATTTTCTTATTCCTGCCAAGAAAGGATCGTGGCAAATGTACAATGTACATGAAAAAATGTACAATATTACCATTTTTTCTCCCCAAGATTTTCTGTTGGAATGCTTTGGCTAAACAAGAGATTAATACTTTAAATCAGTTGATTTTGAATGAGTGTTCTAAAGGTTTTGAAAGATTGTATTTTAAGTTTAGTTTGCCTTCAACATATGCTTGGCAATATGTACAACTGAAACATGTATTATCTATACTTTTCTGAGGTTCCTGCAAATTTATCTGCTTCAAGAGATGCTGTGCTTGAACAGAAACAAACAATTCAGTTTTATAAGTAAGTAAAATAAAAGGAAAGTTAGTATTAGCTATGTATTTGAACTGTGGAAAAAAGAATTGGAGTATCCAATTTTAGAAAATCAGTGGGCCTAGTTTAGTTTTTTTTCTTTTTATTGCATTATTATTATTTAATATAGATGTTTTCTCTTTTGTATTTCAGTATTTTGATAATACCAATTACACATTAAAATGTAAAATACTATTTTAAAGGGTGTTTTGTTTTTTTTACAATTTTTGGTAATAACTTGAAAAATCTACAGTTTTAAAATAATGTAATGACAAGGACCATTAAATCTGCCTATTAGAATCAGGGTTCTCGCCACACCAAACCCAGATCTCTGATGCTGATATAACAGAATTATTCATCACCTGCCTCATCAATTAATCCCATAATTTTAGTCCCCTTTCATCAGATGGAAATTTGTAGAGCCTTAGCTAAAGAATTCCCAAACTGTTCTTTGGTCTAGGACAGTGTTTCTCAACCTTAGCAACTTTAAGCTGTGTGGACATCAACTCCCAGAATTCCCCCCCCCCCCAAAAAGGGGGGGGGGGTTTTTTGGGGGTTGTGCGCCCCCACCCTAGCTTGTTTCAGTTTAAGGAAACAGAGCTGGTGGGGTATTTAG